TGTGGAGCTGCTGGTGTTCGGCTATGCCTGCAAGCTGTTTCGAGATGATGAGAAGGCTCAGTACCAGGAGCAGGGGCGACACCTTATTCCTTGGATGGGAGACCCCAAGATCATGATCGATAGGTCGGTGTAACACAACCCCCCAGACTCTGCTGCGAGATCTGCTGTTATAGCCTCTTTCTGTTCCCCCCCTTTATGCTGTGGGCGACTGAGGGCGGGGGGTGAACAAAGGGCTCTCTCTGGCAGACGTGTGGGGGCAGCCCCTCCTGTGGAGTGCTTCGGGTGCTGCTTTTGTGACGCTGCGGGGCCGTTCCTCGGCAACGGGAACGTGGGGTTCCCCGCTCTGGCAGCGCTGGGAGGTTCCCCTCCTGACAGTCGCTGTGCGTTTGGTCGTTCTGATCCACTTGTTAGGGCAAGGCTCGCAGGGCGGAGTGGAGAGTGGGAATGGTCTGTTCCGTTTCAGGGCAAACCACAAGCGTCATCTTTTCTTCCTTGGAGACCAAGGGAGCCCCATTGCCTGGGAATGCTTATCAGGCACTTTATGTGTTCTCAGAGAGAGAAAGAAGGGCGCAGTGTGGGAAGGTGTTTATCCACCATAGAGGAGATGGGATTTTCTTAATTCTCCCAGGTAATCTGGCAGCAGGCTGCTGGTGGAATACCCCAAAAGCAATTCTTGGCCTAATTACTTTTTCCTTGTGCCATGGTTCACTGTAATAGGCTTTGATTTTGCGTGCTTGTGTTCAAATTTTATGACAAGGGTGTCTTTTTTTGGTTGTTTTGTGGTAGGTGTAGGTTCATGGCCAGAGTGAGCAATAGAATCTGCCTGGATGTTTCTTCTGGTCTCTGTGATGTTTTGGCAGCGCAGGGTTGAACTTAGAAATAAATTCATTTAGAATGAATTGTCTGAATCTGTTTCTGGAGAGAGGGAAACGAGGAGGTTACGTTGGGTGTATTCGAGTGGAGCACAGAACGTTAAAGAGTTGTGGCTGACCCTGAAAACCTCAGTGGGAAAGTTGGAAGGATTTGGGTTTGAAAAGGATCACGTGGCGTACTCTAGGTATTTGTTCCCTCAGTTTCATCATTGCTTTGTTTCTACACATGGATTTCCTGTTTTGATTTACAGTTGTTAAGCTGTATTTGGCTTGGGAAAATATCAGTAAGGGAAGATATTTTCATTTCCTTCCGTAAGACTGAAGGAAAAAGAAATGCCCTTGCGCTGTTTGGGGGTTTACACCAATTTGTTCCCTCAGTTTCATCATTGCTTTGTTTCTACACATGGATTTCCTGTTTTGATTTACAGTTGTTAAGCTGTATTTGGCTTGGGAAAATATCAGTAAGGGAAGATATTTTCATTTCCTTCCGTAAGACTGAAGGAAAAAGGAAATGCCCTTGCGCTGTTTGTGGATTTACACCATTAATGATTTTTTTGATTGAAATTAGGTTGTTAAATTGGAATAAACATGATAAGACAACCATAAATGTTTGTAGCTATGAGCAGTTCCTTCCCTTTCGCGAGAAGTGTCGCGATGGGCGCTTCTCACCCAGATCACCTCTGGGGCAGGTTGGCTTTGTCGGTAGAGGCCGTGTTTGTGGCCCTGTGTGACAGTTCCCCAGGTTGCAGGTGTTACGGAAATTGGTGGGAGCAAAAACTGAGTATGTGCCTGTTTGTACGTATGCTGAAAAACCCGAATAACAGACATTTGTAAGTTAAGGTAGCCTGCAATTGCTGATCTTACAAACTCCTTTGGAAGCTTAGATTCTTTTTACCTCCAGCAGCAGGAAGTCTTCATTTTCATCAATTTGAGACAAGTACATTGCTATGAGAAGACATGGGTTGAAGTTTGACTGTGGACAGAGCTTGATTAACCAGACCTACGTGTTTCCTTAACTTTTTTTTGCTATAAGAATATTTACTTTCTTTGTTTTGGGTCTAGCAAGTTGGCACAAGTCAAGAGTTGTGTGTGGGAAGACACTTCAGCGGAGTCGAGTTTACTGTCACTTTACTTTTCAATCAGTTTCTCTTGCCGATGCCTAAACATTATCCCAATGCAGTGCTTTTCCTGCGAATGAAATTATTTCTGCCTAGTAGAGAGGAACTGTACGTCATTGATCTTGGCCGTTTTTGCGGTGAACCTCCTTAAATTGCATGTTTATGTTACTGTTCCTATGTATGTGTGTCTCTCTATCACATAACCCAGAACTTATTTCCTCAGCCAAATGGCTAGGGGCCGAGCCTAGCCATGATTTTACCTCCAATGGACGCAAGTTTCTATGGTGAAGATCTCTCCTGAGAGTTCGGGACTAGCAGAAAGAAGCGAGGAAATTTCGGCCGTTTGGTTCTTACGGATAGGTATTTATGTACTCGGGTTTGTGTGAATGTAAGCTATTTGACTTTCCAGAAAAACGTATTTTGCAAGTGACATTGATTGGTTGGTTGAAGCACGTACGGTAAGAGCTGTTAAGGAAATGGATCCCACTTAAACTATTAAAGGATACCTTTGCCTTTAATTGTAATAATTTATTAGTTTCTTTGAGAGGAATTTAGACTATTAAACAAATTTTCGCTAGTTGGTGACAAATGATTAGCAAAATTAAACGTAACTTCTAAAAGGAAATATGCTTTAACATATAAGTATTTTTTTTTTTCATTTTTAATGGGTAAGTATTTAAGTAGTCGCATAAACCCAAGCCCTAAGTTTTTTGCATTGACCAGCTCTTTCATCCTGCAGGTATGATGGGCGGGGTCACCTCCATGACCTTTCTGAGTACGATGCTGAATATTCCACGTGGAACAGAGACTATCAGTTGTCTGAAGAGGAAGCTAGAATAGAAGCCCTCTGTGATGAAGAGAGGTATTTAGCCTTGCATACGGACTTGCTTGAGGAGGAGGCGAGGCAAGGTATTGCTAAAGGAAACTTCCTGAGTTTAGCACATGTTTAAAGAAATAATTATGAAATTAAATTTACTCCTAATTTTATACTCTCTTTTTTTCTGATGTTATCTTGACAGTACCCAGTGGATTCGAAAAACGGGAGTCTTTGCGTGTGTGAGAGGACCTCAGGATAGTTTAAATATAGATCCACACAGAGACTGCCCAGATTCTGAGGGCAGACTTGGATTTCAGACCCCAAAATAAACACATTCTGTTACGATTTCAGTGTTGTATAAATGAAACTCTCTTCTCTCGTATGCGTAACTACATTAGAATGTTTTAACCCGCAGCCTTTATCTCTTCAGGAAGAAATAAATGGTCAGCATGTGTACATGCTGTGTTTTTCTGTTCGGTTTTTAATGAAAGCTAAAATGATTAGGTGAAAACTTCTCATTTAAAAACTAAAGTAAGAAATACTACTTTTATTTCTTTTTTCTTTTTTAAGAAATTAGCTTTTAAATATGTTCTAATGATGGATAATTGCGTTTTTGTTCAAGAGGAGGAATATAAAAGACTGAGTGAAGCTTTGGCAGAGGATGGTACCTATAACGCAGTGGGATTCCGTTATGGCAGTGATTATTATGACCCTTCAGAACCCACTGAGGAGGAGGAGCATCAGCCCGCAAAACAAAGAGGTGAGGGGCAAAAATAGCGAGCGTCAGTTGAGCGGGAGAGCGTAGCACCTCTGTGTCTCTCTCTTGCAGTTGAAGATTGAAAATGGGTATTTTGTCAAAACACAAGTGGAAAAAGCTGGCAGCATTTCAGCAAAGTCTTTATGGAATTGTTACTCAGTTTTTGCAAACTTCCCTCTTGATGCGCTTAAATGTTTTCCTGCTATGGCGTGGTCAGTGCTACAGTAGTCGGGATAGGAAGTTTAATTCTGCTGTCTTCCAGATTCTTATGCAGAAAAAAAACCCAGTAATTCATCACAGAGGGTGACTGTGAAGGCTGTGCTGCTTGGTCAGGAAGGAAGAGATCATTGCAAACACAGAGTAATGATTAACCAGAATATATGGGGTTTAGGTTTAGATTTTGTCATTTATTATCAACAAGTCTGTCTTCCACAAAGCGTGCTCCTCTCCAGGATCTTTAAAAATGCAGAATTCAGGTTCTCATGTTCCCATCCTTAATTATGATAAATTCACATTTTTAATGTGAAATCTTCAGGAAACTTTCAAGTGTTACTGAACTATGCCTTTAAAAATTAGGATTGCTTAATTAATAATTGGGTTGTCAAACTACCATGGTATGGAATTTGCTTTTTTGACCATAGTGTGTGCTACGGTGCAGGAATATTTTAGGTGCTAAAGCTTATTTAGTGTTGCCGTGCGCAAGAGGTTGTGTCAGGGCAGTGGCCGTGCGGCTCGAGTCCTACTGGGAGTTTCTCCTGTACCCTTCAACACTGGTGCTCAGTTGCACTGTCTTTTCGGGGTTTTCATTCGCTTTATTCCATTTGTCTGGTAGATTCCATAAGCAGTTAGTTTCTAAGTTCTCTTTATGATCTTTTTTTTTTAGTGTTTCTTGTAATAGGGATGTTTCTCATGTCGTGTGGTCTGGGGTAGGGATAAGGCTGCGGAGAAATTGGAGATGTTAGGGAGGAACGTGTCTGCAGTTTGACTGTCATGAGTTCAAGCTGTATTTAGGTTGCTCCACATTTCCTTTCCTAGAATAATATCTGGAATGATATATTATATTTTTAGGAATAATGCTAAAATGTGACAACTTAGTCGTTGGCAGAGAGAGATGTAACTATCTGGTCTTCCAACAAGTTAATTTTTCATTAATTAATATTTGATGCATCGTGGAAGTGTCATGCTAAGCTATTACAAAATCTTGCGGTGTAACGTGAGGGTTGTCAGGCGCTGGAACAGGCTGCCCAGGGAGGTGGTTGAGTCACCATCCCTGGAGAGGTTTCAGAGAAGGATCGATGTTGTGTCGAGGGACGTGGTTTAGTGGTGGGGATAGGACGAGGAAAAGGTTGATCTTGAAGGTCTCTTCCAGCTGAAAATGTTCTGTGATTCTAAGAATTCTCAGTGGTGCTGACAAGAATCCGTGTAGCAGGTCAATGGAATATTGTCTCAGTTGTGAGCTTTCTTACCAATTTTCTTCTAGAAAATTTTTAGTAATGATAGATAACAAAGGGGCATTTTCTAGTAACTCTTAATAGTACTTGGACGAAAAGTTAGATTGAAACATCAATATTATGTTTTGCTGTAGCTGAAATGTACAGAATTGCAGTAGATTGCTCCGTAGTAACAATTTCCAATAATACAGGACTATAAATTCTTAACATTGATTTTTTTATAAATCATGGGGGAGTAAAATCTAGTAGTGAAAGATCCAGGTAACAGTAATGTGGATTAGGGGCTGTAGTTCTGCGAACACCTCAAGTGTTAGCTGGAGCTGCTGCCAAAACAAACAGTCTTGTCCTGCTTTGCTGCTTCTTCCTTCTCTTTCATGCTAAAGTCTCTGTGTGCCTTTGCAAAGTTAAACTGTTTGAGTTCATTTAAAAAAAATAAAACACCACAACAGCCCGACTGAGAGCGATAAAAAAGTGAACTCTCTTTTTGCATGGGTAAGAGCTTGTGTGCGGTAATTGCTCTGACAGCTCACGCGTGGCTGGGCTGCTCTGCTGGCGGTGTCCAGAGTTCCCATAGTCAGGTTTTCACACAGTTTGTGGTATCTGGTTTGTTAGGATAAAACTGGCATAGATAATACTAAAAGTTACTTTAAAAAGCACACTTTCCACTCCTACTGCTGTTAAAAAATGTAAAGCAAGATGTTATCAGGGGAATGTTTCTGGTAAACCAAATAACAATGTAATACAGATTGGCCTTTCTGAAAGAATAACTGGTTTAGATAAGTAGTTCATGTCATAAAGCTGTTAAATATTTGGATATGTTAAATGCCAACTTTAGAGTGAAGTTGCAGATGAGTGGCAACACTTAATCAGTTATTAAGGCAACTACTTTGTCTCTGTAGGTGATGAAAGTGGATTTTAGTGTCCCCACTGCATTCTTGTACAAATTTCATTAGGGTTAAGAAGCTGATGAAAGTATTTAAGTTTGTTTGCAAAGGCTGAAATGGTTGATTTACAGGGAACTGAATTGAGGTAGATCAGATGTCTTAACAGCTTTAGAGATATTGGATATTTGTAATATTTTAATCATCGGTAGGAAACGATTCGCCCAGTGCGTTGAAAATGGTTACCCTTAGTTTTGCATGGATTTTCTTGTAAAAACCAGAAGTAATATAATGCAAAAGAATCGTTTCCCGTTGATTTGACACTCATTTGTCTTCAGCACTGCAGTCAGAGCTAAGATTTATAGGGTTTTATTCTTCCTAATACCTCTATTAAGGCATAATTTATGCCATCCTAATTAAACTGCACAACTCTAAAAAGAGGAACTGTATTTGAATGTCTTCAGTGCAAGTGCTGGTTACAGTATCATCTGATAAATTCATTGATTGCACATCCTTTTAGATATACTTTATTTTAATATTTTTTTGTTAACATTTGGGTACTTTGACATGTTTTGTCCTATAGCATTTTATTCTGCCCTTTCTTGTAGAAACAGCTCAGACAGAAATTGTAGAAGAAAATGAAGAGCCTTTTGTTGCCCCTCCAGGCCTGAATGTACCTTCTGACGTGGAACTGGTATGTGTGTGCATTTCGTGCATCCTAAGTTCTCTTCAATTCTCAAGGAGTTTACAGTGCTTTACTGATTTTTTTTGTTGTTTGTTTCATCAACTTTAGTGTGGTCCATTTTTTATTATTTTGTGATAGTAGCTTGATTTCAAATGTTCTTTCCTGAATTCTTGAGTTCTGTCAGCTCTTGAATCTTCACACTGAAATTATTGCATTGCTAAGTGTGTTTAGTATGACTTGTGATATTGGTTTAGATGATGCAGAAAAAAGGCAGTTGTTCATGGATACTTCCTGAGATGTCAAGGTTGACATTCAAGATATGAAGGACCATTAAACCAAAAGATTGCTTCTGGTCAAGATTTTTTTTCTGGAGCCTTTTTAATAGAGTCTGAATCTTAAGTGGGTAGGAAATGATCAAATATAAAGGCTGTGTTTATGCCTAGCCTGTTCAAGGCGAAGAGCAATTTCTAGCAAATTCTGAAATAACTTCGGCTTACAGAAGCTATTTCCTTGTGTGATGTTACCAGAATTGCTACGTGGTAACCTGCAAACTTAATTGCAACTTGCGTGGTTTTCCTGAAGGGTGTTAAACAGTTGCCTCACCTGCTTGTGGATACGGTTGTAACCATGAGGATTTTCAGTTTATTTCAAGTTTCATAAAAGATACTGGGATGTCACACAATACTCCTTCTCCTGTACCATGGTCCTGAAAGTGTTGATTTATGTTTGAGCTGCCTTCTCAACTTTGGCGAGTAAAGATTCAAAAGTACGTTGTTAGAATAACTCATAGTGAATACAGGGTATTTCTGTAAGAGTGTTTTTCTACTTCATTAGCTTTTAATGGAAAATTTTTATCCTTTTTATGGGTTTTAAATGAAATAAGAGCTATTTAACATAATGTGTGACTTTACTTGTTTTAATTTTGCTTCCTCTACTTTACAATCTGATAATACATTTCATTAGTGAAGTGCTTACAAATCTACTTCTGAGTTCAAGATTTTTATACATTATGGTCTTTAAATTACGAGTTATACTTTAGTTTTAGGATAAGAACACTGAGTTCTCAGTGAGAAGCTGCTTGTTTAGCATATTTCCAAAAAGTAACTGCTGGTAAAAGAGTGTTTGCTGGTATAGATGGCTGATTTGCTTGAATTTTGTTTTGAAATTTAGGATATATTTTACATGTAAGTTGCAGAATGCAGCATGGGATGTACTGAAATAATTTCTCAGTCAGCTGTTAACTCCAGTATATTCAAATGAACAGAAAGTAAATGTGAGCCTGGTTGTTTTTTCCTTAAAAGCATAAATTGAAACAACCCCCCAAAAGAGTAAAAAAACTGAACAAACCCAAAATGTTTGGACAGCAGCTCTGAAAACAGCTTGGAATGGGAATTGTGAGAAATTTTTTTTTTGTAAGCCTTAGTTTGTTGTTGTTGTTCTAGGCAAGTAATTTGGTTTTACCCCTTAAGGGGTGTTTTTTGTATTTTTTTAACGATGGATGGAAGCCTAGTAGGTTATTGATGGGGTCTTACGTGCATGTTTTAAAAACACTTCCTCATTTTAAGAAAAAGAGAGAGAAATCATCGATTCCATTGCCATTAAGTCAATTCACAAATGATTAGAGAAGGTTGCTGATTTGTGGAAATGACAGGGTGTTCTAGGTTTCTCCTGAGTTTGCTGCTAATTACCTTTCAAGGTGAAAGACCTGACAGTCAGTGATGGTTACGGTGAGAGGAGGACACTTGTAAACTGGAATTATTTGGGGAGGAAGCAGATAAAATCTGAGAATCACCTTCCTGACTTGGGGACTTTGTTCAGAGTCTGCAAAGTGCAGTTCAGTACAGACGGATAGAAAATAGTTCCTGCGGTACAGCGCAATGCAAAGTGCAAATGTTAGCTGGAGGTAGCTGAGGAGTTGGGCAGCGCTACCGCAAAAAAAGACCCAGAGTCTGCAGGGAGCTGTTGGGCGCTCGCTGTGCGGCAGCTCCCGCTGCAGCGGTACCGACGTTCTGGGATGTAGAGTAGGAGAGCTGGCTTGAGGGTGCTGGAGGGATTCCACTGCCTGAAACTCTTGACATCAGGGTTGTGGACAAAGGTGACTGTTCTTGACTGTTGCATTTTAAGAAGTGCATAGATACTGTGGAATTAGGCTGCAAGAAGAAATTATCAGTTAAACTTATGAGGAGAGATTGAAAATTGCTTTTTCTCTGGATGAGAGTATGGGGAATCAGCCTAAGACTTGAAACTGTTTTCCAGGCTTATTGAAGATTGGAGAATAGTTGCTTAATTTGCAGTAAGGGGGACTCACACATGAAAAGCTTTAAATTATAGTATTAATTAAAGATTGGAACGTAATATTTGATTAGATTATGGTGCTTGTGTCACTGGAGTATTTTTCAGAAGGGTTTTTGCTCTGGCAAGTACTCGAACTTTCGGAAGTTTTAACAGTTCAGAGTTTGAATGTTTAGTGCTTTTAGTGCTTTTAGTGGATGTAGTAACGAACTAGAATATGGCTATGATATAGACATCTCTCTTTGCCATTTAATGTTCTGTGCTTTGTAAGGTTTCCAAAGTTTTGTAGATCGGTGGTGTTGATAATCTTACAAGTCAGTTAAAAGCATCTGTATTCATAGTGCCTGTTTTCCAGAGCTTATAGTGATAGGAGTTTCACACTCAAGACCGGATAGTAATTTCAGATAGAGTCTTTTTTGAACTTCCTTGCTGATCTGTAGCTTTGTTTATGAATCTCTCAGCCTTAAGTGTATTTTGTATTTCTGCCTAAGAGCAGCCGGAATAGAAAAACTTGATATATGATTAAATACTGAAACTGGCACCACACAAAATGTTATCAGTTTGTTGGGAACTTCATTGTCTCTAATTAAGATAATCTCTGGTGGTATTTTAGAGGGACAAGTAAAACTTGAAGCATTCAGTTATTTTCCATATTGAACATGTTGTTCCAGTAAAGGATCCAATTGTCTGAAAATAATTTCTAAAAATGTGCTGTTTGATCACATTCAGACTTTTTTCCCTAAATAGAACATCGCTGTCTTGTCAATTTCTAATCTTCTGAAAAAGATTTTTTCGGAGGTTTGCAACATACTTTTTTATCTAGACCTGTAAAAATGCAAAGCTAAAACGAATCATTAATGTGACACTTCTGTCTTTATAGGTACACACAGTATGCATTTCTACACTTTATGGAGCTCATGACAAAACAGAGCTGTCTGAGTGTGAAACTAAAGACAGCGAATGGCAAAGTTCATTCATTTTTTAACTTTATTCTTGTTCTTTTCACTTTTGAGGTTTGATATGGCAGCGCTCCTTAGGTGGGATTTCAGGAGTGGAAATGCATGGATGCTTAACTTTAATTTAATTTTCTTTTTTCTTTTATTGCTGAAGTGTTCCATGACTCTTGATGGGAATGTGACAGCAGATAGGAATTGCAATCCTTTTCTTGGTCTTAAGATGCAACATCTCTTTCCTAGCATCCTAGCAAGGTCTTTCCTAGAATCCTAACAAGGTTTTCTAGTTAGGGAACAATATTTGCACTTTTGGTGATAACAGAAGGAAGGACAGCTGTTGGGAGGAAGACCATACATGGTGAGTCTTCAGAGATCTTTCAAGATCCCTTCCAACCCGTAACGTTCTGTGCTTCTGTGTGGGAATTGCAATCCTTTTCTTGGTCTTAAGATGCAACATCTCTTTCCTAGCATCCTAGCAAGGTCTTTCCTAGAATCCTAGGTTTTCTAGTTAGGGAACAATAGTTGCACTTTTGGTGATAACAGAAGGAAGGACAGCTGTTGGGAGGAAGACCATACAAAGATCTTTCAAGATCCCTTCCAACCCGTAACGTTCTGTGATTCTGTGTATTATAGGGTTAAGGCCACTTCCAGTTGGCTCTGCTGAGTCAAGAAACACGTCTGTCTCCCGCCTTGTGCCAGCAGAAGTGTCTCTGTGGCTACGGAATGTACCTGGCTTAAAAGAATTTTTTTTTGTTTCATCAACCTCAGCCAGAATTTGTTCCCCTCTTCAACTGGGTGGGCAGTGGCGCGAACGGTTGTGCTGGTAGAGGGAGAGGATCTTGCCAAAGGAAGTGAATGAGCCACTAGGGGAGACTGGGACTGGATTTTTAGTGCTGATACGCTTCCACTAGTTGAAAGCAATTATGAAACTGAGTTGCTAGAGAAAGCTGAGAAGAGGTGCAGGGGTGCTGCTCTTTCTAGTTTCCTCTGAGGTTCTAACACACTTTACAAGCTGCTTATGAAAATATAAATATATGTTATTTTATTCTTGCAGCCACCCACAGCGAAAATGCACGCGATTATAGAGCGAACTGCAAACTTTGTCTGCAAGCAGGGAGCCCAGTTTGAGATTATGCTAAAAGCCAAGCAAGCACGCAACTCCCAGTTTGACTTCTTGCGCTTCGACCACTACCTCAATCCCTACTACAAATTCATTCAGAAGGCTATGAAAGAGGGACGATACGCTGCTCCTTCGGAAAATAAAGCAGATGAGAAAAAACGTAAGTTGTGGCTTGGGCGGTGGATGTCTTCAGGACGTGAATCACGCTGGCCTTTCTTGGTAAAACAGCCACATCTTGGTGGTGCATTGTGATGGCAATGCTGTCATCCTGCCGCTGAGATGGATGGGATGCTTAAATTGGAGGAGATTTTTTGAAAGGAAAGATTGGTTTTGGAAACTTTCAGATACAAGAGCTGATATAATCTTGGAGCTTTTAGAAGCACTTTTATAGCTCTAGTCCAATGGAGAGTTGGTCTCTGCACTTAGGTTTTAGTTTTATTGATGGCTGGCAATATCTTCTTGGATCTAGATTTTGGTGAACAAGCAGATTTATGAAAATTGTTGTTTCTTAAGAACACGTGCTTGTTCTGTGCCATCTTTCTCTCCCAATACAAATCCATAGCAAACCCAAATAAAATTCAGACTTTGCTTTTATTTAGACTCAAGAGTCAAATCTGAGGAAGAAGACGATGACGACGACGATGATGATGGAAACTACTTGCACCCAAGTCTCTTTGCATCTAAAAAATGCAGTAGGCTCGAAGAGCTCGTGAAGGTACTTGACCTCATCAAAATTATTTTCTACCTTGTAAAACATCTAATGGGCACAAAAATTCTGTGTGCAGGTTTTAAGATCTTTTGTTAACAAAAAATATTTTTCCCCAGACTGTGTTTCAGTAATTTAAGTCTGTTTTGGTGAACTTTTGAGTTACCTTTCCTACTTAAATTGCTCTGTTTCCATTTGTAATGAATTATATTTCTATTTTTGATGCCCTCTGGTATTGAGGGCATCACTCAAGGATTTATCCCAGAGAACCTGTATAGAAGCTGAAGAGATTAAGATATTTAATGCCTTCTGTATATAAGCTGAGAGAGGATGTTTTCTTTTTGGATTTTAGTAGATAAAATGTTGACATGAAGCAATAGTTTCAGCAAATAATATTTCATGGGAATGTACTATTCATTAAATGTAAATTTTGCTGGTTTTAGTTATTTTTGTTTTCTGAGTTTGAACAGTGATGGGATAATGAGAATGACAGATGGTTGTACACATTTGAGGCTTTCAGAGGAATGGCAGTGGTGCTGCCTGGTATTTAGACAAGTCAGGTTCTGTGTCTTGTCCCAGCCCGGTAAACGAGAAAGAGTAATACCCACATTTTCTTTTTTTTTTTAATATCATGGATTTCTGTTCACATTAAAGTATTTTTTAGTTGTTTTCCACTAATTTTTAAAGAAAGAAGAAACGGATGCAAGAGCCACAGAAGCAGTAACTTCATTTTGCACAAATTAGTGATGTCTACTAACAGAGATAAATTTACTTTCCAAGTTAGGTAGATGCTTTAAATACGTACTTCAAATTTTTTTTTTTTTTTCTCAAATTATTTTCAGCCTTTGAAGGTAGTAGACCCTGATCATCCACTTGCAGCACTGGTGCGGAAAGCACAATCAGATAATAACTCCTCCACACCCCAGTCAGCAGATGGGGCAGCTGTACAGACATCCCAGGCAGAATATTCTTCTGATTGTAAGTGCTTTGTGATCAGGCAGCTGGTGGCGGGGCTTGATGAATTGTGTGTGGATGCTGGTAGGAAGAAAATACGTTAGCTTTGTGCTTGATCCTTCGTAACTGCTATTTATTCTTTTTTAATATCCTGAATCTTTGAAGGTGCATTCCTCCCCCGAGTGCCGGTTGAATTGTTTGTCGCTTAGGAAAAACAGGAGTGGGGTGGAGAGGGTGGGCAGGCAGGAGGGCCAAGTCTCCAGTCTTTGAGTATGGTTAGCACAGTACCTTTAAAGTTTGTTTTATATGTTCCATCAATTTCTGTTAATGAAGCCTCATGAATGCCTTCACTGTTGAATATAAAACTGTCCTCTAAAGCAATTCATGAGATTCTCTGTAAAAAAAACTTACCATTTTAAGCAAAAATGCAGATGGTAAATGGACTTCGGACAGTTTTGCTGGAGTGTCTAACACTTAAGAAAAATCTGCAAAAAATATCGGAGATGGAGTACTAACTTTTAAGTTCCATAGCTACAGAGGACAGTCTTTAATACAGGAGTAGATGTCACGTATCAAGACTTTCTCCTATTTCTAAATTATTATCAAATCTTTAATCTTAGATTTTTCTCAAACCATTTCAGAACATCTAAATCCTGTCCTGTATATAACCTCTTTTAAGAATCAACTTTACTATGAAATTTTTAGCAACGTTATCTTAACTTCTCTGCATGTGTCTGCTTTCCAGTTTCTTTGAAGCTGCTTAATGCAGGCCTCGTAAAAAGCTCCTGCAAATTTTGTAAATTCTGATGCTCGAAATGGTGGTGTATTGGGTTGGCCTGGCCGGATTTTG